AGGCCTTGGTGACTTACATGCAATCTACATGAAAAATACATTGATGGAGTCTTATTTACTGAACTGGTCTCTGTCCTCTCAGTTTTTATTGTCTTGCAATAAGCATCTTTCTCCCCATTTTGATCGATACCGAATCCACACAAACAAGACTGGAAGCCTTTATTTTATTTTTTTTTACAAAGGATACCAACTGTTTCCAAAGCCCTTAATTATTATACTTCAACAGACAGAAAATCCCCCACAGAAATTACCTATTGTTCCTTTGTTGCAATTCTTTTATTTCTTCTAATAGCTTTTTTTCTGATAGTTTTAATAGCTTTCTTTATACTATTGATCTAAGAGATGGTTGAATCTAATCTCGTTTGTAGTATGTATTTGGTATGTTGTGTGTTTCAGAACACCAAAAATTTAAAAGTGTTTTGGTGTTATATGTTTTTTTTAAATTTAAAAGGTTTCGTGAAGCATTTTTACTTTATAACCTGACTTACTTGGCAGGACTAGCAAGTTACTACTCTTGACTTGGAGAAGCAGACAAAGAAATCAGTTGGTTTTCAATCAATATCTGATAAAAGAATCTGTATTTAAATTTAAATAATTTAATATCAGATTATGCCTCCAAAAATCATGAGTGTGATATAAATTAAGAGAACCTGATCTGAAATTCAGTGTACCTAAATTAAATTAATTGTATTTTTCTGTATTCTTTGAATGTTCTTCAAAAGATTGCAGTGAAATACTTTTGCTTGTCAAATGTGAGTGAAATGTAGCTATTAACCAGCTGTAGACAATAAACAGGGAAAATAGACAAGGTAACAAATGAGGAAGTGAATGGGTTAAAGTATTTCTATAAAATGTTTTTACTGTTTATATTTGTTAATTGTTACTGTTAGTTACTGATGAAGGAGCAGTTTTGATTTATGTGTAATATGTTTATTTGGAATAAGTGACATGCTAATCAATTGTAGCTCTTCCTGTGAGCCAACTCAGGACTAATTCCACCTCCTCAATTTATTGGACTATCACAGTATCACAGTATCACAGTATGTTAGAGATTGGAAGGGACCTCAAAAGATCGTCTAGTCCAATCCCCCTGCCGGAGCAGGAACACGTAGATAAGGTTACACAGGAACGTGTCCAGGCGGGTTTTGAATGTCTCCAGAGAAGGAGACTCCACAACCTCCCTGGGCAGCCTGTTCCAGTGTTCTGTCACCCTCACTGAGAAGAAGTTTCTTCTCAAGTTTAAGTGGAACCTCTTGTGTTCCAGTTTGTACCCATTGCCCCTTGTCCTGTCATTGTTTGCCACTGAGAAGAGCCTGGCTCCATCCTCGTGACACTCGCCCTTTATATATTTATATACACTAATAAGGTCACCCCTCAATCTCCTCTTCTCCAAACTATAGAGACCCAGCTCCCTCAGTCTTTCCTCATAAGGGAGATGCTCCACTCCCCTAATCATCTTAGTTGCCCTGCGCTGGACTCTCTCCAGCAGGTTTATACAGAATCATAGAATCAAGTAGGTTCGAAAAGACCTTTAAGATCATCAAGTCAACCATTATCCCAGGACTGCCAAGTCCACCACTAAACCATATCACTGAGGGCCTCATTTACATGAGTTGTGAACACTTCCAGGGCTGGTTATTCCACTCTCCCTGGGCAGCCTGTTACAATGCCTGATAATGCTTTCAGTGAAGAAATTTTTCCTGATATCCAATCTAAACCTTCCCTGGTGCAGCTTAAGGCTGTTACCTCTTGTCCTATCACTTGTTACTTGGGAGAAGAGACCAACCCCCACCTCGATAGAACCTCCTTTCAGGCAGTTGTAGAGAGTGATAAGGTCCCCTTGAGCCTCCTTTTCTCCAGACTAAACAACCCCAGTTATATCAGCTGCTCCTCATCAGACTTGTGCTCCAGACCCTTCACCAGCTTCATTGTCATTCTCTGGACCCACATCAGCACCTCAATGTCTCTCTTGCAATGAAAGACCCAGAACTGAACACAGGATTTGAGGTGCAGCCTCACCAGTGCTGAGTACAGGGGGATGATCACTGCCCTGGCCCTGCTGGCCACACTATTGCTGATACAGGCCAGGATGCTGTTGGCCTTCTTGGCTACATGGGCACAAGCTGGATCATGTTCAGCTCCATCAATCATCACCCCCTGGTCCTTTTCCTTAGAGTAGCTTTCCAGCCACTCTTCCCCAAGCCTGGAGCATTGCATGGGGTTGTTGTGACCCAAGGGCAAGACCTGGCACTTTGCCTTGTTGAACCTGATACCACTGGCCACAGCCCATCGATCCAGTCTGCCCGAATCCCTCTGCAGAGAATTCCAGCAGATCAGCACTCCTGTCCAGGTTGGTGATGTCTGTGAATTTACTGAGGGTGCACTCAATTCCCTCACCCAGATCATCAGTGAAGATACTAAACAACACTGGCTGTAACACTGAGCCCTGAGGGACACCACTACTGATTGGTCACCAACTGGATGTGATACCATTTATCACCACTCTTCATGCTCTGCCATCCAGCCACTTTCCCCAGCAAAGAGTACACCTGTCCTGGCCATGAGCAGCCAGTTTCTCCAGGGGGCTGCTGTGGGAGACAGTGTTATTTGAACTTACTTAAGTCCAAATAGACAATGTCCACAGCCTTCCCCTCATCAACCAGGTGGGTCACCTTGTAATAGAAGAATATCAGGTTGTTTAAGCAGGACCTGCCCTTTGTGAACCCAGGCTGACTGGGTCTGATCCCCCAGTTTTCCCACATGCTGCGTGATTGCACTCAGGATGATCTTCCCTGGTGCTGAGGTCAGGCTGACAGGCCTGTGGTTTCCAGGGTCAATTGCTTCTCTTGCTCGTTTAAAATATTAACTCCATGTATTCTTCTTAGACTCTACAGCCTCATTCAAACTCCACTGATATCCTTCAAAGAGGTTCCCATTTATCTCAGCTGATGGGAATTTAAGACATTAAGGAACTCCTGGTTGTCTTTTCCTTGTCCTGAAATTTGCAGGCTTTGGGTCAATGATACAGCAGATCTGTACTGAGGGCTCCTCTTACACTGTGGCAATATGATGTCAGATGCTGATGTGGGACATAGTCATTCTGCCAGTTCACATTTGTTCAGCGCTTCTGAACACGCTTTCTGACAGCTTTCTGACAAAAGCAGGCTCATGCCAGGTTAGATGCCCATCTTGCACCCATTTAACTTTGTACTAGATCAGATGTGGTCTGCACTACTGCAGCTGGGTCAAAGTCAGTGTAAGCTTCCTATCTTGAGCTCTGACATCTCTGATATCTCAATATGCTCATGCCTGATTCAGATTAAATTAATAATGGCCAGTGGCTTGCAGGGTAGAGATGAGGAACCCAACTCAGCTTTTTGCTAAGAGGAGTGGCCTTCATTTTATTCCTGGGGGCAATTTAGGATTTTTGCCTGATTTTTGCTGTCTTGTTTCATTTTAACACTCTGTAACATTATAAAAACAACTGCTGAATAGCACAGTGATTCAGCTTTAGTGAGTTCAAAATATAAACTGTTTTACAGGAAAGAAAATAAAATACCTTCTCCTATTCCTTTGATTTAACTGAACATCTTCAGTGACAGCAGACAGTAATCCTACAATCCTGAAAGGCTTTTTTCTGGTACCCACAATGGAGTTGACTGCAGTAAAAGGAGTCCTGCTTACATGTTCGTCCTCAAAAATTTCCAGTCCTTCTGGTTAAATTTCAGTATTTTAGGTTATTAAATATTTTTTTCTTTCCTTACCCTTGAGTTTTCAGCCAGATTCTATATTCTTCATTAATGTTTTGAAGTAGTAGCAATGAGTAAGTTGTTTTAGCACTTTTTGATCTGGAGGAGATTAAAGGATTTGGATTTTCTTCCTATGACTGTGAGGACCATAAATGCCTTAGTTTACTTTGTGGATTTCACAGCCCATTTGAATGTCTTGGAAAAAAATACTACGTGAGTTTCACAGTCAAGTCAAAAGTAGATTCAGTTTAGAAAACGGTTTAAATTGAAAGCACTTTTCACTATTTCCTGTGATGTTGCTATCCTGCTTTGGGGAGTGTTCTGAACATGGGCAAGCAGCTAGAAATGTGAATGATCTCAATATTAATTTCCAGCTGTGATAAGCCTTTGCTATATCCAGTAACTTCCGTATTACAACCTACATTTTTCATCTTGTTTTGATGCAGAGGATCTTGCAAACCACCATCTGTAACCTAAATCAGAGCATGACATGTTGCAGATATGTCCCACTTGCCGGCTACCTTTGTAATCTTCTCAGGCTACTGTGTAATACTCATCAGTTTGAGTCATGGCAGCAGTGATTAAGAGCAGATTGTGGCCTTTTAAAGAAAGTCCAGAATGCTTCTCTGGTTGATTCTGCTCAAATTCCTTTTCCCAGACCTCTGAGGGATGCTGGGCTCCTGCTGTAACTCTCTGCTGCAAGGGAAACTGTGGAGCCTGTGTGCTTCCCCACACCAGCCTTGTTACATGGGTTGCACTTGCATGCATGCCTGTAGTCTCTTGCTTTTTGGATGGCTAGTGGTAGGAATGATGGAAGGGTTTGCAGTGGCTTGGAGCGGTGGTGTTTGGTAGGATTCAAGGCTTTGTTCCTTCACCCTCCTTGGATTCTCTCTTCCCGTCTTCAGATAGTGGTACACTTACAGCTTGGCTGTCCCTCAGCCAAGGGCTGCTCTTTTACCAGGATGCTTCTTTTTAAAAAAGTGGTCTTTTTTAAGATGTTTATCCAAAATGCCTGGTCTTTAGTTCGCGTACTTCAGCACACGTTTTAAACGTGAAGAATTTGTTAATTCCCCTTTAAAATACTACTTTTTATGTTGGGAGAAGCTTGCAGAATCCTTGTAGTTGTTCGCTGTTGCATCATTACCTGGAGATACTTGGTTCCAGTCACTTTTCCTACTTTGCAAAGTGAGTTCTGTGGCCTCATCATGGGTTTGTGGAAGATGAATACTAACCTGCCTTGTTTACTTTTAGGAGGTCTTGGTTATGGACCCCAGTGCAAGTCCATTGGAAAAGGCAGCTACAACAATGTAATAGTCACCAGCAGTCCCATGACAGTTCAACAGCTGGGACCTGTTTCACTTCCTGCTAATCAGGTTTCAACAGCATGCAACAGCATCAACCCTAGCTTACAGAGGTCTATGGATGTTTCCAGCCTGAGTCCTTCTCCATCAGATACAAGGTCCTGAGTTACTTTTTTATATTTTGTACTTTAAAGAGAGGGTATTTTAATACTCTTGTAATTTAAATGCAACCTTTCTGATGATTAAAATGGCCTGAATGATGCCCTGTTATGCCATTTATTCTCTGCAAGTTAGTTGACACTAGCTATAATCATACTGTTTGGATCACTGAAATCATGGGTGAAATTTGTCCACACATTTTCTGTGTTTTGTAGGTCTTTTTTATAGTCACTTAACTATATCTTTGTACTAAGGACAGGGAGTGTTATGGAGGATGGAAACAGACGTAGTCCACATGTTGCATCTTCAGGAACAGTGACCTGTTTTAAGCTTATATAGTACTAATAGAGCTATGTTGGTGCCTGTCAAGTAATAGTAATGTCAGAAAAAACGCCCTAGATGCCGTCTCTTCTCCTCATCAAATACCTTTGTTTTCAAATTATTCAATTGTTTACATAAGTAAATAAGTCAGATCAGTTGTTCCAAACCTGTACTGAGCCAGCAGTTAATTTTACCTGTTATACTTACACCCCTAAAACCTTGTCCATTTTCCTAGCGCTTGTGGGTAGTTTAATGAAAACTATGGCTTCTCCCTGTAAATGTTGCCTTTTTGTGTAACTAAACCACAGATAAATTTAATTTGTTAATTTTTAAATGCTTAAATAACTTTTGAGGGTTTGGCTGTGAATAGTGTCAGCAAAAATGAAGGGAAAATATTTATCCATACAAATACATTAAGCACATCCTAGCCTATTACTTAAATATACAGTCCTAAAACATTGTGGCATATTATTTCAGAAGCTACATTCCCCCTTTTGTAGATGTGACTCATTGGAACAGTTGCTTACTGAGTTGAAATGTAACTGTTCTTATTTACAAAAGGCCACAAGAGTCTTTACTCTCATGACAGTTTCCCTTTTACTACATCACTTTATTACAAGGCAAGTAGCATTGAAATAATTAAAATTGGTGTTATGTAACTGGAAGAAAATTTTGCTTTGCTCTGCTTTAAGATAGTTTGTGACATTTCTTGTTGCTTCGGCTGTAAAAGCTGAGTTCCCCAGGACAATTTACAAGATTAATTATGTATACATATTTCAACAAAAACCATTCAGTGCTAAGGTGATGATAAATGACAAATTCAGAGATAAGCCTTTGAGACCGACCTGATGATATAAAAATATCATTAAGTAATTATTACTTACTTAATAAGTTGTAGGTGTGCCTGTATGGTTCCAAACACTGTTGTTTTAATCTGTGTGTGTGGTTGGGTGTACTATATCAGCACCGAGTTATACATTTTTTGTTTTTATTTTAAAGAAACTTTTACTAAGGGTGAACTGAAGTTGAAACTCTGTCAGAATACAGTCTGTAGTGTCCCTAGAGTCTCTTTTAATGATTTGTCAATGAAGATGATATAAAATCAGTTTGCCACACAAAGAATGTCCATTTCAGCAATTTGCCCTCAAATTGACAATCTAATAGGGCAAAACAAGTTTAGAGTTAGGTTTTAATTGACAGATTGTTGAGACACTTTTTTTTTTTTTTTTTTTTAAGTTGCTTTGGCAATAAACTGCACTGGCCTAAACCAGTTGCCTAGAGTGACTCCATAATCCTTCATGGGCTGAGTGCCTTCCCTGGACTGTATCTCTCAGGCATCATGAACTGTGCAATGGCAGCTCAATCCAAACCAAATTACTTGCTGAACTGAATCAAACCAAAATGACTTGTCTTGATTTTTGTTGATAGAAGAAAGAAAAAACTTGGTATTTTTCAGATATATATTCCATGATGGATAAAATCTTCCCCATCTTTTTTGAGTTCCCTCAAAACTTTTTCAAAGTATTCAGTTATTCTGCTTGAAATCAGATGCAATATTGTGATTCACTTTTATGTAAGTCAGAAAAGATCCTAGGAAAGAGAAAAAGGATTTTGGCTAGTAAAACTGAAGACAAAACAAAAAGATAAGAAAACACAGTTTTCACTCTTCCATGTTTATGGGTAGGAGTCTTCTGTATGTAGGAGTTTATGTATCAGGTTATACTTGACATTGTGGCCTCTGTACACAGAGGAAGAGAAGAAAGTAATTACAAGTAATCTCTTGTAAACATTCATAAAAGATCTCAAACTGGTTTAGATTACAATACGTAGACGTGCCAATTAATACCATCTGAGAATCTGGCACAATGGTATAGCTGGCCCTTCATTTTCCTATTAGCTATATTTATTTTCCCCCAGAAAACTACTTAGTCACAGTATAGGCTGGGTTTTAAAGGAATTTTCTTTGTTTGGGGAGTTGGAATGCTCATTGCTTTTGAGTTTAGAGGCTTAATCTGGGGCTTCTTCGGATTATCTGGCTCTTACTGTATACTTGAAATTGTGGGCCAAAGCGTTTGTTTGCTCATTTTCTTCTGAGACTTTTGGAATGCAGTTTTTCTTTGGCTTCACTGGTGGGTATGTGCCTTTGTGTTATGCATTAGAAACTTTTTGAATGACACTGGTTCTGTGAGGCATCTGATTAAAATTCTTGACATTACAAAATCAGATCTGTTACATTGATGAATTATTTTTTTTCCTACTTATAAAAGAAAATAAATAATCAAACCAGCAAAAAAACCCCAAACCAACCCTATTTGTATTTACCAGAAATAAATACATATATATATATATACACTAGTATGGAAAAATCAAACTTTACTTACTCCTCTTCCTCTGTTGTAGACTTTGGAGCTGTTTAGGGGTCACAGCATACTAACATGATTTAACTGCTCTATAATGAACTGAACTTTAGCAACCCCATTGATAACAGACCCAACAGCCTGAATATTCTTTTTTTCAAGCAAATAATTATCCCTTTAGATCTGAATCTTGCACCACATTGACCTGGTATAGCAATCCCATTTTTCTCATTTCTCTCAATGCAAACTGTAGTCAGCATGTTAATTGTGCTTTTCTTCAATGGTGTGTTTTGAAAGTGCCATTTAAACCCTGATGGAGTAACATAACCTTCATAACAGTAGCCTATGCTGACATTCCACCTGAACAGGATGTTTCTTACAAAACAATGTTCGGCAAATCAACAATCCATTACAAAGCAAGTATCTTGAGCAAAGGAGCATTTACCTATTGATCCTGTAGGTCACCACAGCAAGGCTAGGTAATATTTAGAGCTACATTTTCAATGTTCATGAGCTATCTCAGTGCATGGATGCAGCACTTGCAAATTGCTTTGTCTCTCCCTCAGCCTGTGCCAACTTTCCCCTCTAGACAAAAGAGAGCTGAAGGGGTACCCAGGGTGCCTTGACAATCAATGCCCCTCCTCCAGCTCTTCAGCAATGACTGAGCTGTGTTCCTGTAGCATGATCCAGCCCTTAAATAAAAGTCACTACAAAATGGCTTTTCTTTCTTCATGTTGTTTGACTCTCAAGTGTTTGAAAATGCTGCAATAACTAGTAGGAAAAAATCCCATCATTGAGGGTGTTCTCATGTGATGGGCAGAATAAGATAACAAAGACAGTGTGACTTTTCATCTTTAATTTCTAAGGCTAGATCTGAGCATGGAAAACTATATGCATTTCTCTCACCTGAATGACCTCACGTAGTGTTTTCATATATTCTTTCAACCTTGCTGGTCTAATTGAAAGATAATCCACAGATCTCAGAGGCGAAAAGTCAATTTACAAAAAGCAAAAGCATGGAAATGTGGTAAATTCACTGGGAATATCTCCAGAGCAGTTGTTAGGATCTGTTCTTGCTCTCTTGGGTTGACTGATATTGTTTTAAATAGGATTCCCAGTTTCAGCCTACCACCAACCACCACCTGAGTAGTTTCATCTATCTCAAACGAAGCCGTGGTTGCTGCAGTAGGGCTGTAGTGCAGACGTATGATGCAAATATGAGCCTAAACAGATCTGTCCCATGGTTCTGTGTTCGTGAAGCAGTACCTGTAAGAAAATCTTGCAGAAACTCAGAAGCAACTGCAATATTGCTTACCTTGAGTGGATATGAGAACTTGCTTCCCTATTAAAAAAAAGAAGCAAGTCAAATAGGTAGAAGTGCCTCCTCAGAAGCTTGCTGTAACCATGTATGTATCAAGAAACAGATGAGATTTGTTTTTATTAATTTTCTTTATGGTGCATACTTTTCTCTTTTCAAAAATAGAGGTTTGTAGCAATATAAAAACATGCAGTAAAATAACACATTATTCCTTATCTGCATGACAGTGCCTGTGAAATATTGCATACAAATTTTTCATATACTGTTTATTTAGAGCTTTTAGAAAATATATTTCAGCACCTGGTATTTAAAGTACCTATTAGTATTCAAGGTACCTATTAGCATGTATTAGCTGTCTTTTTAGAGTTAATTTGACCTCCTGAAGTTTTGTACAATAGGGGGAACTATTGTGGATCATGGGTTTTATGTGAGATGGTAAGAAGCAATGATTGACTTGTCTACCTTAAAAAAATGCAATTTACGTGTGGAAGAGAAACTAAATTTCCCACTTACTGTATCCATCATTGAAATTCTATGCTTTTTTAAAAGTTTATTATAAAAATAATCAATCCAGGAATTAATCCCAAAATGGAAGGTGCAGAAGTTACTGTGTCTATAAGATCTCCAGGTTTATCTAGCTGCATACCTGGTTCTTTCTACTGCTAGAGCTCCTTAAAATTTAAATTAATACACTGATAGCACTGCTGGCTGACAGGAGATACAAGTCTGGCATGTGAACTGAAAACATAAAGACGTAAATCCGCTTGGCCTTTACCCAGCATTTGCAGCCATGACCAAGGGATCTTGATGTTCTTATATAGTCTTTTTATACCTTTCAGTATAAAACAGTGCTGTTAAGAGCTTATGAGCTCTTTTTTATAAGCTACCAGTAGAATATTTGCAGTATAAGTAAGCTTCACATTATTTCTGTGAAAAACAATGATAATAGAATCATAGAATCATAGAATCATAGGATAGTTAGGGTTGGAAAGGACCTTAAGATCATCAAGTTCCAACCCCCCTGCGATGGGCAGGGACACCTTGCTCTAAACCATATTACCCAAGGCCTCGTCCAACCTAGCCTTGAACACTGCCAGGGATGAAGCATTCACAACCTCCTTGGGCAACCTATTCCAGTGCCTCACTACCCTAACAGGAAAGAATTTCCTCCTTATATCCAATCTAAACTTCCCCTGTTTAAGTTTTAACCCATTACCCCTTGTCCTATCACTACAGTCCCTAATGAAGAGTCCCTCCCCAGCATCTCTATAGGCCCCCTTCAGATATTGGAAGGCGGCTATGAGGTCTCCACGCAGCCTTCTCTTCTCCGGGCTGAACAGCCCCAACTTTCTCATCTGATCTTCATATGGGAGGTGCTCCAGTCCCCTGATCATTCTCGTGGCCCTCCTCTGGACTTGTTCCAACAGATCCGTGTCCTTTTTGTGTTGAGGACACCAGAACTGCACACAATACTCCAAGCGAGGTCCCACAAGAGCAGAATAAAGGGGCAGGATCACTTCCTTCGACCTGCTGGTCACACTCCTTTTGATGCAGCCCAGGATACGGTTGGCTTTCTGGGCTGCAAGCGCACACTGCAGCCGGCTCATGTTCATTTTCTCATCGACCAGCACCCCCAAGTCCTTCTCCGCAGGGCTGCTCTGAATCTCTTCTCTGCCCAGCCTGTAGCTGTGCCTGGGATTGCTCTGACCCAGGTGTAGGACCTTGCACTTGGCATGGTTAAACTTCATGAGGTTGGCATCAGCCCACCTCACAAGCGTGTCAAGGTCCCTCTGGATGGCATTCCTTCCCTCCAGCGTATCAACCGAACCACACAGCTTGGTGTCATCGGCAAACTTGCTGAGGGCACGCTCAATCCCACTGTCTATGTCACCAACAAAGATGTTAAACAAGACCGGTCTCAACACTGATCCCTGAGGGACACCACTTGTAACTTGTCTCCAGCTGGACATTGAGCCATTGACCATAACTCTTTGTGTGCGAATAGCAAGATTACACTTTCATGAAAATTTAGATTGCTGACTTCGTGGCAGATACATTGTCAGATCAAAACTAAATAAACCACTTCAAGCAGCTTTTCTATATTATTCATTTTGTTTGGTTTGTAAAGTTAGATATTTGTATTTATAAACTTGTGTTATTTCTGTAAAGACTACTATCGGTATGCATTGCAGTTACATTCAGGTTAAATATTTATTCTTTATTAGTAAGTTTTTTTCCTGTTCTTTGCCAGCAAAATTATAGTAAACTCAAATCATTACAAGTTTCATACAAGGCAGGAGCATAATGCTTTGGCTTCAGAAGCCCAAACCGATCTATACTACAGCTGATAAACAGATTTGTATTGATTTCTGCAGTGATATATCAAGAACATTTACAGCAACTTTTCTTTAAAATCTTGAACTTTTAAAGTTGGTTTCCTAAGTGACCTTGTTACATATGTATGCCTGCTGGTACATTAACTGCAAGTGCTGAATTTGAGTACTTAAAATTCCAGACAGCTTTTTTCACATGTAGCCTTTCTTTACTTTTATGTGTGTGTGAATACAGAAGGACTACTGTTGAATTGTTTAACTGCTTACTTAGTTTATTGTGCCTTTATTCTAGGTTGCTCTTGTCGCATGAATCCCTGGCCTCTATGAGATTAAGCTTGTCAGAAAGTCAGTCCCCTTCAAGTGTTCAGCAAGAGGGGTCGCATGGGTACAAGACACTTCCTTCTGTTGCTCCTGACCAAGGTTTTCAAAACAGCAGTGAGCTTGGGGACTTACTAAATTTTTCACCTGGAACATCCGTGTCAGGTAACTGCATATCTAACTCATTACTATCCTACTTACATGGCACAGAAAATAAGCATTCCCCTTACACTAGTCCTCACCATTCCTCAGCCTGGTCTCAATTAGCATACTCCAAAAAAAGATCACTCTCTCTATCTCCTCTGTATGATGGCATTGGGATTGACTTCAATACAATCATCCGTACATCCCCAACCTCTCTGGTGTCCTACATCAACAGTTCCAGGACATCATCAACAAATGTCTCCCCACAGCCTGAGGTCTATGGACATTTTTTGGGAGTGAGAGGAAGCTGTATGCCCCAAACTTGCTCTATTCCATCTGCCCAGAAAGTCCTCCTCATGTCTAATGGCAATGTCACCTTCTCAGGGTACACTGATAATGGGGCTGGCGAGTACCAGCGGATGCAGCAGCTGGAGCAAGCCAGCTTGGAGATGAGCGCTGCAAGTAACATGGTGATCCAGGTGGGCATGCTGCCTGCAGACAACCAGGTGGTGGACATCCTGAGAGATGCACAGCTGGACAACTTCTCAAGCCATATGGTTGACATGCCTCTTCCACCCATGCTACCACCACCTCCTTCTCAAGGGCCACCACCACCATACCACACTAACCAGCACCGGCATCCACACAATCTCCCCAGTTGCATTCACCCATTGGCTATGCCTGTTTCTACCCCAGGATCCCTGCTTGATGAAGACAGTGAGTCAGGTGATTTCAATGGCAAGTATGGCTGTTGTTGGTTAGACTGTGGAGCACTGTATGACCAGCAGGAGGAACTTGTGTGGCACATAGAGAAGATACATATAGACCAGAGGAAAGGAGAGGACTTCACTTGCTTCTGGGCAGGGTGTCCACGAAGGTACAAGCCATTTAATGCCCGTTATAAACTGCTGATTCACATGAGAGTCCACTCAGGAGAGAAGCCAAACAAATGCACAGTAAGTCTGAATTCTGTCTCTCTTACCAATAACAGGTCTTACATTACTCATGAAAATACAAGGAATTTGTAATTCTACCTTTGTTTTTCCAGTTTAATGGTGTGCTTTTTTAACTAGTCTGTGTGAATAAATGACTGTTCCATCTTTGCCCCTAGACTGAAAGGAAGGTAGCCTTTAATTTGATATGCAGTGAGAAACAGGGGTGGACAAAATATTATTTTCTATTTTTATAATCTTTTACTGTAGACTGCAAAATTGACTTAGTAGACCATGATAAAGTACAATTTAAAGCACCCTCTGTACTTCAGTACCTGTATGAAGGAAACACGTAGGAAAAGTACTCCAGAATAAATGGCACAATTTTGCCTCTTGTTACTCCTTTTAGAACTGAGGAATTTTCAGGATCTTGCATAATGTTACCATGAAAAACTGAGAAGAGCTGGGTATTTCTTAAGGCAGTTATTTGTTTCATTGCTAACAAAAAAATAGACCCACAGGCCTGTTTTCATGAATACATTAGGGATTAAGCACATAATTTCTCTGTTTGCAGATTCTAGCAATGAGCAGTCAACCCGCAGAGTTATTCTTGCTGTTTTTCTTAAGGTCATTGCAAGTCAGTCTCACACATATGTAATAAAATGGGATAACAATCCAGCCAGTAAAGCATAGAATCACTTTATGTTTAAATTCCAGTGAACAACCTGTAATTTCTGTACTCCAGATTCTTGACTGGCCTTATGTACAGTCTGTATTTTGGATGATGAGTAGCTTACTTTTGCTGTGTGCTTACTTAGTGCCAGCAGAAAGTAATCTTACCAGTGCTGTTTCTAGTCGTCAGCATAATCTAATTAAATAGTAAGTATATAATTTCTAGGGATAATCTCTGAATATTATTCACTCGAAAAAAAACCATACTTATTTATATGTTATGAAATGTAAATTGGTCCTGGAGTCTATTTCTATTTGTGTGCCTAGTTAAGTAATTTTCTTACCATGATGTAGATGTTTGCTTGTGCAGTAGATAGAGAAAACTTTTTTATTTCACTTTTGTTACAGCAAAGGGCCAATCTCCTTGAGGATGAGCAGATATCTTCCTAGATTTCTCTCTTAAATGTAAAGGATTTGGTAGAGATTGGGTCACAACACTAGAGCGACTCTTATCTTTCCCTTTAGTCACACCAGACTCTGAACTGGGGCTTTCTGGATACTTTTTTAAAAATTCCATGATACAGTCTTTTCTGCTCTCCAGATATATTATATCAGAGCTCTTGTAAGCTTTGTGGTGAGAGAAAAGGAGAAAAAAGAATTATTAGGAGTAAAGAAAGTAATCTTTTAACGGAATAGCGCTTAGAGAAAAGGGACAGAGACAGACATCAACAGATAAGTGAGGGCAGAAAATGGTATGAAGAAAGAGCTGGAATGGTGAAAGAACACTGTAAAAATGGAGGTACCCAGCATCTTCTAGTAGAATTATGGGGAGGGATCACTCTATACTCTCTGCCCTGCCTATTCAGAAAGGATGCTTACAGTGACCTTCTCATGAAAGTGGGAAGTGACCTCATTATGAGGCCTCCTCCAGGAATTCTTAGCTTTGAAGGAATTGTCATTCACTGGTGATAAATGTGTTAATGTTTAAGAGGATAGAATACTTCATATGGTAACATTTTTAAGATAAATAAATCTAAACTAAAGTGTGTGCCACATCATGCTGTGTCACAAAAATGTAAGAGGTGTCTGTATTAGCTTCTCAGAGAGAATTGCTTTCATGAACATTAAAAAGTGTGATTAATTTCACTGAACTTCATCAAGTTTTGCTGAATCATTGGTAGATAGTGCCAAGAAGTTTGCATATCAGAACCAGCAGCCACATGCTTATCTTGCTTTCATGTTATAAGTGTAATGAAATGTAGCAATAGGGTAACATGATAACCCTCATAATGTAGGTAGAAATCTGGAACATAGACCTCCTTTCTTGGGACAGAATGCAGAAATAGCATTCTTTAGCAGGGTTTGAGAGGAACAGCATGCTATCTTCTCCCTTTATCATTTCACAAGTGGTGTGAATTTGGAAAAGAGTATTTGACCCAACCTATTCTATGATCCTATGATTCTTTATACGAAGCAGGCATGCCATGTCAAATGATTTGTATTTATTTATTAATCTATGCATTAGCTTGTACTTTGTAGGACTAAGTTAAAGAAGAAAAAGTTGAATAAAAAATGGATGTTGAAATGCAGGCAGTTAATATGCCGATGTTTGAGATAAAATCTGTAACATTTGCCAGCAGCTACCACACAGCGGTATCTGAGGTTCCCTTAGATTTCCTCTGGATTAGAAAAAAGAGAATTTTCAGTAGCTGTGGAAACTCCACAGCAGCAACTGGAAAATGCTGAACTTTTGCTCTTTTTGGCTCAACCTGTGAGGCTATTTTCTACTCAATCTTCTTTCTTTTATAGGGAGTATTTCTGTACTATTCAAACTCAGCTACAGTAAGTGGAACTTGGTTAGTCTTCTTGTCATGATGTGCAATCACTGAGCTTAATATGTTTATCCTACTGTAAATAGCGACAGCATATTGTTAAATTTCATGCTCTCTCCTTTCAGTTTCATTCAGGTACACTAGGAATGCTTCCCCTTTTGACACTGAGTTAAATCTGTCTGCTTTCTGTGAGATTTGAGCTATGCTTCAGCACGATGCCATTAATATTTGTAGTATGGGATAGTAGTACTCATACCGCACTTTTTATCACAGCTGCTTGATGTGATATAAACCAATAACATTGCTAGTATCCCTCTCAGATTTGAAGCAACATCCATGTAACATCTGCTAAATATAAAAAATTATCCTGCCACACACAGCCTACTAAGCATGTAAAATAGAAGATATGGTTTAAATAAAACCCCATAAAACTTAACACACTTGTATAAAGCTTTTTTTTGAGACAAAAGTATACATCTTACGGTGAGCAAACATATTTAGATAAAAGCTATGTATGGTATTTGAAGAACATGTGCTTGGAAGATGGTGTTCAAGATGAAATTTTGATTAAAACCATTAAATCCATCCTGTAAAAATTATTGGGATTTTATTTTTCATCTAAAGGCTTTAGCAGTGTGCTTTCATATGGTGTGTTATATATAGCATGTACTATATATTTTAAGTACAGTACATGCCACTGTTTTTTGGTGATAAGGACATATCAGATCCTATATTACATTGGAGTTGTGAAAAAGTAGAAAAAATATATATATATTTTAATTCACTAAACTAACTAAAACAGAAATACCATGGAAAAGAAAACGATGTATGAGTAATTTGATGGTACAGTGGTGTATAGACACCAAAAAGCTGAGTTTTAATTTGCAACTATAAAGCTAAGACTTCCTAACTTGTGCAGTTTTAGTAACCTGCTGGCTTTGGTTAGTATGTTTTAGCTGTTTAAAGGAAAAACAAATTATGATTTGTGGGTGTGCCTTCACTAACAGCTCAATCTCATGTGATCACATCAGATGGCACCTAGCCCAAGCAAATAAATCTTATCTGTAAGCAATGGTACTAATTCTCTTTAATACTATTCCTTCAGTATGAAATACCTAATGCATCCATAGTTCAAAATGTAATGAGATACACTTTTCCTGTGGCTGCTCAACATGCACAATTTCCAGTTGAGTTCAGTGAGCACCTGAAGTAACCCTTTGGTATCCAAAGTACTGACCCTTAATATCATCGCATCCCATACATTCAAAAATGCAAAGCAAACTCCTTTCTACATGCAGATGTAGAACTGATGAAGGTGAAAGCCAGTAGACAGAAACCCATATTTTATGTTACAGCGTAAAATTTATGAAACCTTACTCTTGTTCTTCTAATGAATAATTTGATTGTTCTGTTAAGTATTGGAACCAGCTTTTCTTGCCTTTTGACTTAGATATTTGGAAAATTTAAGACAGATTTTTAGTTAACTTTTTCAATCAGTCATTTCAGTTTCACTGCAATCCAGAACACGGTTGTGAAGTATCCAAAAATAATGATGAACATTCCTAATTATACAAACAATTATGTTTGTGTGGAATGGTTTCTAATTTATTATCTCTTTGTGTTTATGTATAGGCACAAAGGTTATATTTTATTTATAAGATTATATTTTTTATGCTCATTTCTCTGTGGCAAGATTTTGATTGAACATTTTTGAGACTTTTTTTGTCGCTGTACCAAACTATGAATATATGGTAAATTAAAAAAAAAAAGAAAAAAAGAAAAAAAGATTCACTCTTAAAAATTTGCCTTAGGAGACAAGAATCAGCTTGATTCACTCTGATTCCTGAAGAAATTCTGTTCTACTGCCACTGTAGTCCCAATTAGTTGAGGTGGCATTTAGCAGGTGGTAAGAGCTTGTGTACTTTTACACAGAGATACTTGCAGAGTAGGTTTCCAAAGGGCCTGGACAGTAGGATTAAGCACTGTTCAGAACATGACTTCCTATAAATGGTTGAAATTGGCTTTTTGGAGAAGGATATTACCAATACAGCAAGTGCAGTGGGGTGTTCTGTTATAGAAATACAATTGCTGTTGATCTTGTGTTGACATGGTTTGAAAAACTGCTGAACAAACCTTTCTGTACAAGGCTGCATGGAAACAGAGAGGTGCAGTTTGTCTGTGTGGAGAGCTGAATTAACTGAGAGAAGGAAATTCAAGAAGTGGTGCTAGGGAGGATGCTGTGACAGTTTTGTCTATAACTGCTGTGGAACCCAGGTAGATCTGTTCAATGTATCTTGGTTTGCTAAACCTTGGTATAGTCACATGGTGATTGTTTTCTGGTATCACTGCTATCCACTAGAAGTGCTTGGTTTACCTGTCTGTTAAAGGCTGTTTTGATTTAAGTTTGATACTTTCTTACCATCATTTTAAAGGATATATAGAAACTTTATTCTGTGTGTATTCAGATCTTGAGAATTAACACACATCATTACGAAGTTCAAGATCACAAGTGAATCATTT